TCAGCAGTTTGTCTTGGAAACCTGGGGTTCCCCAGATTCATGGAAGTGTGGGTGGAGCTCAAGGGGTACATGCCCCCACCCCCTGCCTCAAAACCACAACTGAAAAGTCACAGGGCCGGAACCAGTGAGGCTTTCTGACTTCTGCTGCTGTCAGGGAGGGCCTCCTCCTCGACCCCGCCCTGCAGGGAAATGGAAACGGCGCAGGGGTGGGTCTGGGCAGGTCCAGGCCGGACCTCAGGTACTGTTGCCGAGTTGCCCCGCCTCTCTCCCCTGGTTCGGGGGCTCCATCAGCCCAGGGCCCAGGGAGCATTCCCCACCGCATCCCAGAGCCCGCCCGCAGGGCCTGGCACGTGCGGGCGCCTCAGTCTCCTGGCCTCACCAGCCTGGCGAGCCTCCCTGGAGCAGGGCCTGCGTGGTCCCTGCCTGTCCTCGCTGTGGGCACCACGGCTGGGAGGCCTCTGTGTTGGGGCGTCCAGCAGGCCACGTGTGCTTCATAGGGTTTGCCACCTGCCTTGATGGGCAGACGGAGGCCGGCGGGGCCAAGGGCCTGCCACCCCGTCCTGACCGTGGGTGATAGGCCTTACCAGCATGGGCCGGGAAGGAAGGGCACGGTGGGCGCGGAAGAGAGGGGCGGCGAGGAGACCTGGGGGACCCTGATGGAGCCAGGCGGTTATTTCAGTAAGTCCTGTAGGCTCCGCGGGAACTGAAATACCTGCCGAGGATATGAAAGGGGAAATGGGATGGGACCCCCATCCTGGGCACGCCAGGGAGTCTTTGGCCTCCAGAAGGGGCTGTTGGTGCCCTGGGTCTCCTAGGACATGGGACGGAGTGCAGGAGGGGAGCCATCCCCCGTATGTTGGGGGGGGGGTGCTTTGAGCCCACGGTGGGTGGGTGTGCGTGCCTGGCAGAACAAGGCACCCCGCGCTCTGTCCTGGGGGCTGTGAACCAGTCCAAGGCCCACCAGCTTGGGGCTAGGGAGGGAGAAGGGCGACCCCTGTCCCCCTCAGCCTTGCCATGGCGGCCGTGCCAGGACCCACCAGTTGAGGCAGAGAAGGGAAGTGAAGGCCCCAGGCCCGGGGTGAGGATGGGGCTACAACCAGCCTACATCTTCACACACGTGCAGGGTCTCCTAGGGCTCCCCAGAGCCTCTGGGCTGACTGCTGTGCCCACGGGAAGGAAGCCTGAGCCCGGGAGGGCAGGGATGCCCTCAGCGTGTGGCCTGGGAGCCAGCTTGGCCATGACACTGACCGTGACTGACGGCTCCATCCACCCTGCCTGCAGCTGCCTCCCTGGTGCTGTGGCCTGCCTGCTTCCTTAGGGCAGGCGCCAGGCCCGAGGGCCTGCACCTGGGGGCCTGGGAGAGAGGACAGGCGGCCCCTACCCACCCGGCATGGTTTGGGCCACCACAGAAAGAGGAAACGCCCGAGTTCCTCTCCTCGGTGCCGCCTAGCGGATCCGGAGCCGCGTGGAGTCGCGGCCGGGCTCCCGCAGCCCGAGAGAGGCCTCCTGCCAGCCTCCAGCCTGCGCCCGCTGCTCCCACGCGCCAGTGGCTCCTCAAGACCTGCCCCCGGCCCCTGCTGCTGACCCTCCACTCCCGGCCGCACGGATTTCCTGCCCTTTTCCCAACAGTCCTTTGGCTTCCCCACCTCCAGACGTCTGCTCCGGGGGTGGGGGGGCCCTCTGCCTGGGACGCTGCCTTCCATTGTCCGCAGCCCAGCTGGCCTAGTGGCGGCCCCCGGAAGCCCAAGTGCTAATGCAGAGGCTGCTGCGCCCCAGGCTGGCTTCATGAGCTCTGCTGTTGGCGCTGCCCGTGAATCGCTCCGTTATCCCAATGGCAGCCCTTGGATGGAGGCACTCGCGTTTTCTCCAGTTTTTACGTGGGGAGCGTCAGGCCCAGAGCGACTAGATAATTTCCCTACAGTCACACAAGGAATAGAGGAGGCAGAATCCCGCGATAAGCTGTGGCCGTCCCCCCTACTGCCGTGGGCGAGCTCTGCAGGCTGGGCAGGGCGTGTTCCTCGGGGCCTCTGGAGCCTGGCTGGATGCTCAGCGGATGGTCTGGTGGATGGGATCACCGAGCGGCTCTGGGCTGACCCGTCCCCTGGGGCCCCGGTTGTCCCTTCTGCAGTGTGCGGGGAGTCCCTCAGCGCTTGTGGCTCCCGGGGGCCTGAGCTCACACCTGCTCGGCCACTTAGCACCCACGGGCTCTCTGCTGGTCCCCTGACCTCCCTGAACCTCCATGTCCACTCTGGAAAGGGGAGGGCAGCTCTCCCTGCTCACTAGGGGCTTTCCACGTGACAGATGCCGTGCACAGTGGCCCTTAGCAAACAGTCGGTGCCCCTGCTTAGTTGAGGCTCATCTGGGAGATGCTCCTGAAGCCTGCAGGTCCTGCGGGGGTGGTTGCAGGTGTGGGGTACGTGTTCTTGGGTGCAGTGGGGTCCTCTGGACGCCCTCTTGCCCCACCTCCTGCATCTTGACAGCCCCAGGTGGCCAGGGCTGGCCTCCCGGCCTCCTTGCAGCCCCCCCCGCGAGTCCCGTGGGGTTAAGTGACCTGACAGAACCACAGCCCACCTGAGCAGAAGAATCCAGACCTGTCCAGGGCTGGAAGAATCCCTGCAGGCGCTGGGGCTGGTGTGAAACAGCCTTTGGGATGGTTTGTGCTTTGAGCACCCGGCTCTTCCCGTCCCGTGAGAAAGGGGGATGGGAGTAGGGGGCTGGGGGCCGCGGGGAAGGAAGGGGGTGAGGTTCCCTTGTGCAGGAGGGGCCCAGCCTGGGGCTACCAGGGGGCAGCGTGGCAGCCGCTGTCCATCCAGAGACATCGTAGGGCCTGACTTCCGCCTTTGTCGGGGGTTTGCAGAAGTCGGGGTGCTGGGGGGCCGCCCAGCTGGCGTCCTGGCGCCTGTGGGGACCGGCTGGCGCGCAGGATGCGGCGGGAAGCACCTCGGGGCCCTTGGCGCTGATGGGAGAGCTGGGGTGGGCGCAGCGGAACCAAAACTGCTGTGTCATTGCAGCCGCGGCAGCTGTTGCCAGGGTGACTGGTGAGTTTCCCACCCTTTTTCCTGGAGCAGTGTCAGGATGGCGGGAGGGGTGGCGGGAGGGACGGGTGTGTGTGTGTGTGTGTGTGTGTGTGTGTGTAAGGGACGTTGTCTCCTCCCTCTCTTCTTGGGTCACACGATCCAAGACCCCTACGCTGCCTGCCGAGGCCGGGGCAGTGTGGCCTGCTGGTGGACCCTGGACCTCCTCCCTTCTTGCTGGGACCAGGCTTCAGTGCCCATCTATGGGTTGGGAGTCTCCAAAGCGCCTGCCTCACCAGAGGGTCCCAGCGCTCTCGCTGTCCTGTCGGGGGAGCGCCCAGGAATGGCAGGCAGTTCTTATTTAGGTGGGCGAGGGGCAGAGGGTGTGAGCAGGGGCCTTGCGGGCCCTCCTTCGAGCCTGGGGTCCTGCGGGAGGGTCGGGCCCTGAGGGCAGGACGGCCTCCTCTGGCCTGGCTGAGTAAGTGGTGCCAGGCATCCCGCTGGCGCTCAGCGGGGCTGGGCCCTGCCGCTCCGCGTGGCTTGGGGTGGGCAAGGCCCCTCTCTGAGCCTCAGTTTCTCTCTAAGTAAAGGGGGGTGTGCGGCAGCACCTCCCTGGCCCAGCAGCAGGTGCCTAGCAGCAGCCTGCCAGGGCTGACCCCGGCTTCCCCCCACCCCCCAGCTCAACTCGCCCATGAACCCCGTCAGCAGCAGCGAGGACATCAAGCCCCCGCTGGGCCTCAACGGTGTCCTCAAAGTCCCGGCCCACCCCTCAGGGAACATGGCGTCCTTCACCAAGCACATCTGTGCTATCTGCGGGGACCGCTCCTCAGGTAAGCCGCTGAGGGCACAGTGGGGACGGCAGGGCCCCCGGCCAACAAGGGGCTGCTCGGAGCTCCGAGCCGCTCACCCGGGACCTTCTAGTGTCTCCACGTCCGGGAGATGGTAAGCGGTAGGGTGGCCTTGTGGCTTCCAGAGGCGAGGCAGCTGTGGTGGTGACGATGGCATGGGGGCAGCAGGGCTGTGCCCCGGGTGAAGGGCCCTTCACATCCCACTCCCGAGCACGGCAGCCCCGGGGGCAGGACGGCCGACCTCCTCGGGCCGCCAGCTCAGACGCGGAGACGGCGAGGACCTCGGGGTCCAGGTCTTGGGCGGGGCCGGGATGCAGCCCTGCTGCGCTCCCGGGCTGGCTCCCTTACCCCAGTGGGACGGGCCCCTTCTGCCAGTTGGCCGCAGGCTGCTCACGGCCGCCCCACCTGCAGGCAAGCACTATGGGGTGTACAGCTGCGAGGGCTGCAAGGGCTTCTTCAAGCGGACGGTGCGCAAGGACCTGACCTACACCTGCCGGGACAACAAAGACTGCCTGATTGACAAGCGGCAGCGGAACCGGTGCCAGTACTGCCGCTACCAGAAGTGTCTGGCCATGGGCATGAAACGCGAAGGTAGGTGGTGCTGGCCCTCTCCCTTCTCGGAGCACAGGGTGTGGCTCTGGACTTGGCAGTTGCGCGGAGCTCCTTTGCATACCTCTGATGATGGGGCGCTCACTCCCTCCAGAGGCGGCGGCTGCTGCTCTGTTGGCAGCACATCTCCGGGGGCTGTGAGCTCACTTACCGGCTCTTTCCTGAGTACCTGCTGTGTGCTAGGCTCTGGGATTACGGAAGAGACACTCTCGGTCCTGCCTGCTGGTGGCTCCCAGCCCCGTTGGGGACAGACATTGATCAGAGCCTCTTCAAGGTCATAGTGGGCCCGGCCGAGTGCCTGGGCTCTGGGAGAGGCAGAGGCAGAAGCACAGCGGGAGCCAAGGCTGGGGGTGGGAGATGCGGGCGCTGAATGAATGAGCCCGGGAAGGCGTGCGTGCGGGTCCTGGAGCCTTGTTCCCACTGCTCAGTAGGGGCCGGTCGAGGAGACCCGGGTCAGGGGTGGGGCAGGGAACTCTAGAGACCATCTCGGGACGTTCCCAAGCCTGCTGGACGCCAGCTGGTCCTGGGCTGTGCTTCCTCCTACAGATCTGGCTGGGGTGCCTTGCGACCCCAGGTCCTCCCAGCAGAGGGACTCGCGCTGTGGGTCTCTCGGCCTTGCGTTGTGACGTTTATTAGGGGCAGGTGGGGGCGTGTAGCACGGAAGGCCGCTCCCCTGAGGTCGCTGAGATTGTCAAGCTGTCCAGCCAGACCTGGGCCCGAGCCCAGGGTGGCTCCTTGCAGCCCCTTGCCGTCCGTGGGCCTCGGTTTCCCCAGCCCAGGTTTGGTGGCTCCTGTATTCTGGGTGGCTTCTCTCAGTTTTGGTCTGCGTCCCAGCTTGAGTGTCTCGTGCCTGGGGCCTCGTGGGTTTAGGAGGCGCTGTCTGGGATCCCTTCTCCGCTGCGGCTGTTCCCATGGTCCACGCATGGCTCGTGTTTTTCCACCTCCTTCCCACTGGCTCCTGTCGGGGTCTTGGGCTGGCGTCTCACCACCGAGGACTGTTCTCTCATGGGGACTGCAGTTTTCATCTCCTTTCACTTGTTTCTCTCTTCAGCCCTACTTGTTCTTGCTGAGAAACCAAAACCTCAGCTGGGCCGTGTGGTCCTGCAGGATTTGTTCCTTGAGACCGCGAGGCTGCCTGTGCAGTGCAGTGATGTGATGGGGGCTCGGTGGTAGCCGCTGGTGAGGGGCGGGGTGCCTCCTGGGCGTCAGCGTGAGCGAGGGGTCGGCCTGGGCTCTGGGCCTTCCCGATCGGGGTACGTGTTCCATAGAGACCTTGGCCCACCCTTCTTTGTGTGGGTGGAGAAGCTGAGGCCCAGAGTGTCCAGGGCTTGTCCAAGGTCACATGTCGGGCTGGAGCCTGGGCCTCTGGCTTCCAGTGCAGATCTATTCCTTTAGACCAGCAAGAGGGCAGAGGAAGCATGTGCCTGGCTGGGGGAGGCCTGTGCCCAGCCCCGGTTCCTCTGGCCACCCTTTGTAGTCAGGGTAGACTTCCTGGAGGTGGTGAGTGCAGCATGGTTCCTGAAGGATGGAAACTTGGGCAGGGGGCAAGCGTGTGGTGGGCAGCAGATCAGTCTGCATCCAGATGTGGAGCCTGGCCAGAGGGCCAGGTGCCAGTGCGCTGAGGGGAGGTGGGGCCCTGACATGCAGCTTGCGGCTCGGGGCTCCCTTGTGGGCACCACAGTATAGAGTGAGGTCACTCGCTTGCTGAGCTGGCCACCCCTGGTGCCTGGTACCACGCCGGGCGCTGGGCACACAGCAGCGAGCCATGGGCATCCATCCATTCAAAGTGACCGTCAGACAGCCAGGCAGGGCCCCCCAGGTGTGATCAGTGCTGCCTTGGGGGAAGCCCAGGGCACTGTGGGAGCCCAGAGTGGGCCCCTGGCCCAGCCGTGGACATCAGGCAAGGCTTGGGTGGGCAGATGTCCAGCTGATACCAGAAGAGTGGAAGGGTGTTTGGCAGACCCCGTGCCCAGCTGGCGGGGTCAGCGCGTGCCGAGGCCGAGAAACTCAGTGGATGTAGCGCACTGTGGGGCCTCAGAGAGTGACCATCCACGGGTCCCCAGGGCTTTCCCGTAAGTGCTGACCCCCTCCTAAGGCCCCCTCAGCCTGTCCACCTATGAGCTGCCTGTTCCCCCAAGACCTGGGGGAGAGTGGATGACACCCCTTTCCTGTCCCAGTGGAGCTGCAGGCTCGGGGCTGGGGAGGCACCGGGTCTGACCCCTCCCCTGTGCTCACCGGGGGCTGTTAGGAGCGCCTGCCGTGTGCGGAGCCTCTTTGGGGGCCCTGTCCTTGTCGCACACACTCTCAGCCGTGGTGCTGTGACGCTGTTCCCACACCTCCCGGGTAGAGAAACGGGGTGCAGGGGGGAGGGGCGCTCGCGGAGGTCTCAGGGCCACACTGGCGGGGCCGGGCTGCTCCCGTCTGCCTGGGCCGGAGCTGCGCCGCCCGTCTCTCCGTCTGGTGCATAAATCTGGAGCGCTGGGCGCGATCCCGAGGCAGACCTGATTTATGGGCCATTAGATAAATACCTGATCCCATCAGGACCCCCCCCCCCCACCCCCTTGCCTCCTGCTGGATTTATAAGTCACAAGCGGGCGGTCAGGACCCTCCTACTCCGCCCTCTCCTGCTCCCAACGCAACGTAAACCTCTCCTCTTTGCCGCCGTGCGCCCGCGAGCCCTGGGGCCACGGGAGGAGGCTCTGTCCTGGCGTGGGTGGCAGCGCCCCGTCCGTCGTGCTTCCCGTCGCCTGCGGGGGCCTGGCCCACAGCCTCGCTCTCGGGAGGAGTGACCTCGGTGCTGGCCCTGCAGGGGGCTCGGTCCTGAGGCAGCCTCCTTCCTCTCTGCTGTCCTCGGGCGACCCCCGCCAGGAGGGCTCCCTGGCGGTGGCAGGGCTGGTGGCAGCATGAGTTGGGGCAGAGTGGGGCCCAGGGGGACGGGGGCCCGGAGTGCCACCCCAGGCTTGGCCAGGAGCACGCAGGATGTGGCTTGTCCACCCCCAGGGCCGGCCTGAGCCCTCCTAGGTGCCAGCCCCACACGGGCGGCCATGCCGCCCGGCCTCGGTGCCGCACGACCCCTGGGAGAGGCTTGTGATCACACCCCTGGGGCAGGTGGGGCACAGGCTTGGGGCCGACCGCAGGGCGGGCACCCTGCCCCGGCGCTGGTAAGGAGGGACGCGGCAGGCCCACGGCGTCTCGTGTCGGGCACCGGCAGGGGCGTGCGCACACACGCAGCCCCTGGGGGCTCGTTCCGCAGCATTCCGGGGCTGGTGGGGCCCAGGTGGGAGGTGCCCCGCGGGCCAGCCCTCCCCAGGCTGAGCCCGGGCCTGTCCGCTGAGCGTGCAGCCGCAGGGCTCGGGGGCCTGCCTGTGCTCCCTTTCTGAAGCGGGGAGGCCTGACAGCAGCAGGCTGCAGGGTCACCCGCTGCCCCGCCTCTGCTGCCTTCCTCCTCTCCCCGTTCCCTCCTGCGCCCCGTCCCCTGCCTCCGAGGGACTGGGGTGTGGAGACGGCAGCACCTGATGCGTGTGCGCCGGCGGGCATGGCCCAGCAGCGGCTGCGGAGAGGCCCCCGCTGGTTCCCCCGCCTCCCTGTCCACGTGGGGCGCGTGGCCTTGCCTCTCCGAGCCTCAGTCTCCTCGCGGTGCACGGGGGTGTCGGCAGGCTCCCCGAAGGGCCTGTTGGGGGGAACATGGCGGGTGCCAGCCCTGCGCCTGGCGGGTGGTGGGGTCAGAGAGTGGGGGCCGCAGCGTGTGTGCAAGCGTGTGGACCCGTGTGCATGCCCATGTATGTCGCACGTGATCATTCTTGTGTGCAGGCATCTTGTCCTGGGTTGAGCCCCCTGAGGGAAGGAGGGATGTGTCCTCCGAGCTCGAAGGACATAACTCAACTCGCCCTGTGACCTCTGGCAGGGACATGCCCCGCCGGCCTTGAGAAGAGGCAGCCGGACCAGAGCCCTTGGAGAAGTCCAGCCCTGCCTGCCCTGGGGGCCATACAGGGGATGGAGGAAGGGCCCAGCCGCCGGCGGTGCCAAAGCAAAGGAGGCGGCAGGCCTGTGGTCCCCCCACCCCCACCCCGCCCAGACACCCCTCCCACCTCGCACCTTCCTGCCCGGCCCCAGGAGCCGGAGGGCGGCAGTGGGCGCTGTGCAGGTCGGTGGGCGGGGGTCCCACCCTGGCTGTGGGCTGCTGCTCCCCAGGACGTCCGGCACCGGCTGTCTCCTGACGCCGGGGACCCCGCTTACGTTGGGCGTTGAGTGCCCCTCCCAGGCGCGTGCTTGGCTGTTGGGGGAGCGTCGGCCCCGGGGGCTTTCCTGGGGATCCCCGGCGTGGGGGCCCGGCCTCCTCTGCCCTCCCGGCAGTGTCCCCTCCCCGTGCCCCCGGGCCCTCTGCCCGTGGCTCGGGGCTGGGAGGATAACAAGTCCCTGTCTTGGCCGACGCTTCCCACCCGAGGCTTCCCGGCACCAGCGGACATAAGTCAAACACAGCTACGTCTAAGAGGTGGTCGAGCTGGCAGAGCGTGAATCCCCAGCCCCTCCCCGCTGCCCCCCATCCGCTCGGGGCGGCCCGGCCCTTCGTGGCTTCAGAGTGCTTCAGGGAGCGCTCGCTAAGTAATTCCGGACGCCGCCACGCAGGAGGCAAGTGCTGAGGGACCCCCACCTGCCGCCCTGTCCCGTCTGCAAGCGGGGGAGAGCCCCTTAACTGGGCCGCGTCATGGGGGCCGCGTCATGGGGGCCGCGCGCGGGGACAAAGCCGCGAGCGTCCCGAGGGCGCCTCCCGTGGATCCAGCCTGGAGGCCGGAGCCGTCCTTGTCACTCTGTGGCTGGGGACGCTGGGGCACTGAGAGGCTAGGGACTCACCCGGGGCCACACAGCAGTTGGGGCCGAGCAGCGTCTGATTCCAGAGCCTGTAGCTTTAAGCCGCCTGTTCTCCTGAGAGCTCAGCCGCACCCCTTTGGTGCTCTGGACCCGTTTCCCCGCCTGCTCAAACGTGCCTCTCAGCTGTGTCCCAGCTCTGAGGATTTAGGGTTCTGTTCAGAGGACAGACCCTGGGGACCCCCACCCTCAGGGTCTCAGGGACACCGGCCTGCCAGGGTTCCGGGTCCCCATCACTCTGGATGCTGGTCCAGATCAGCCTGTGTGGCTGCCGCCCACCGGGTCCACCCTTCTGGTCTGTGACCCTGTCCCCTGTAGCAGACGGTGACACGAGGAGGTGCCCTGCTCCAGCCCAGCATCCGCTGTGTCGGAAGAGGCCAGAGCCAGGCCGGCCAGCTTGAGCTCCCCACCCAGCCCCACCGGCTGTCAGACTTTCCAGAAGCACCAGGCTTGCAAAAACTCTGACTCGAGGCCTCCCGCCTGGCTCCGGGGCCCAGCTGGTGGATCTGAAGCGTGGGCCTGCCCTCTGTCCCTAGTCTCCCCACACGGATGGAAAATCTCTCACTCGAGTCAGCGTTTGCGTCTTGGAGAGCACAGCCCCTGGCAGGGCCATCCGTAAATAGCCATTTGTGGATGCGGGAAGGATGCAGGGCCGGCCCTCAGGGAGCCCCGCGGCCCGGAGAGGGTCTGAACGGTCGTTGGCAGGGCCGGCGTGTTGGAGAGGGGTCCACGTGGACTGTTGCAGAGCCGTGGGCGGTGTTCCAAGAATCGCACGGGCCCGGGCGACCCCCAGGGAGCAAGAGAGGGGAGCCCTCACACCCCCAGGCTTGGAGGACGGAGCAGGGGTGGGCCGGCAGAGCCCCTGGAGCTGTGGCCTGGGGAGGAGGTGGCCGCTGAGAACCGTGGCCGGGCAGGGCGGACACCAGAGCCACGGACCCCCTCCTCCCTCCTGCTGATCCCCTGCGTTTGCAAGACCCACCCGAGGCCAAGGGTGAGAGGGCCCGGGGTGAGGCAGCCCCGAGCTCGGGCCCCGGAGCTGGGCAGGCCAGGTGGGTCTGGAGGTGCGCGGGGTGGGCAGTCCCGTGACAGCGGCGTCTGTGGGAACAGGGCACTGTGTTTTGCCCGGTCCAGACTTCCTGCAGGGGACGGTAAGCCTCGACTGAGGCCCAGAGGGGTGATGGCACGTGGGAAGTCCCCCGAGGGGCCGCACCCTCCCGGCTTCCGGAAGGCTCCATGCTGGGGGCTGCGTGTAGGGCCTTCCCCTCGGTGGGGCTGGGAGTGTGTGGCAGAGGTTTCACTGCAGCCCTCGGGAAGTCGCCTCGCCCAAGCTCCTGCTCTGCCTTGGGGTCTCCAGGGGCCCCAGGAAGCCTTGTGTGGGGTGGGGGCTGATGAGCTGGTCCTGAGGAGGCCGTGGGCGCCCTGGGAGTGTTGGGGGACGTCTGGACATCTGCTCTGGCTCAGCAGAGCAGGACCAAGGGAGGGCGGCCGGCGGCGGTGGTGGGCCCCGTCCTCGTGCTGCGGCCCTTGCTTAGCGGCATCTGGCGCGTCCCTGGGGAGGTACAGGCCCAATACGCCCAGGGGCTCCCCCGTGCTGGTGCTGTGTGGGCAGCCTCTCCCACCCCGCCCAGGCCTCCTTTCCCCGGGTCCAGGGCCCTTGGTGTCCCCAGCAGAGGAATGGGGGGGCGGGTGTGAGGGTCAGCAGAGGGCGCTGCAGAAGCCCCCAGGAGCCTTCTTGTGTCTTTGCGGGGCTCTGGGTGGGGTCCACAGCCTGGCTCTGGTTCAGCGTCGCCTTGGGCCTGCTGGGTGACCTCAGGGAGGTCTCGGCCCCTCTTGGGAAAGGGCGGCTTGAGCTGCATGGGCTGTGAAGTCGAGGGTCTGTGAACGCCCAGCCGTGGGGCTCCTGGTCCCCTCGGCCTTCCCTCCCATGTGGGTCTCCGCGGGGACGTGTTGGAATGAACTGTTCCCTCTCCGCCTCCTCCCATCAGCTTCTCTCCCTGGGTTCCCAGAAACTAGGCTGCCCCGACTGCAGCATCTGCTCAGGTTCTACCCTCGTGCTGGACCCCCGCACCCGCCCAGCTGGCCTGGGCTGTCCCGTCTCAAGCCTGGGTTTGACCCAGCTTGTGCTCTCGCCCAGCCCCTCTCCCCCCCGCAGCAGAAAGGGACCATCAGAGATCTGCATCTCACCCCATCCTTTTCCTGGGGCACACTGGACCCTGTTCTCGGCCACTCTCCCCACCGTTGCACCCCTTGTTCTGCTCCCTAGCTGACGTGAGAGGCCTTTTCATCAGCAGCGTTTCTGCTCTGGTTCTAGGCCTTGACACGTGTTACCTCTCCTGCCTGAATTGCTCTCCCTGTTTTTCCCGTTCCTTCAATTTCATTGTCACTTTTTCTGGGAAGCCTTCCTGGCTTTGCCTCAGTCCGTAGCCCGTCAAAGCCCTTCTCACTCCAGGAACTATCAGTTTCCTGAGAGCTGGGTTCCATCTGCCCTGGCCCTGGGTGGGTCCTGGGGTGACCAGCAGGTGAAGGAATTAACGAGAGGCAGCGTGTTCTGTTCTCAGAGCGCACAGCCTCCAGGAGGCCAGGCCTGGGGCAGAGGGGGGGCCGCAGTCTGGCCAGCTCTGAGTAGCATCTCCTCCCCGGCCCCGGCCAGCTTGTGGGCGCGCTGCTCGGGCCCTGGCGGCGGAGGGGCTGCCGCGGGAGCTGCGGGCTGACTGGCAGCCTCCCCGTGCCTCAGCTGTGCAGGAGGAGCGGCAGCGGGGCAAGGACCGGGCTGAGAACGAGGTGGAGTCCACAAGCAGCGCCAACGAGGACATGCCCGTGGAAAAGATCCTGGAGGCCGAGCTGGCCGTCGAACCCAAGACCGAGACGTACGTGGAGGCAAACGTGGGGCTGCACCCCAGCTCGGTGAGTGCGCGCCCGCCCTGCTCTGGGGACCGTGGCCCCGGGCGAGCTCCTGGGAGGGAGACCCCCTCTGTAATGTCCCCAGTCGGGTGAGTGAGGTTTTGGTTGTTTGGCTCAAAGCCCAGGTCTTTATGGTAACCTTCAAGCTTCGTGTTGTCTCTGGCCCATCGTCCAGCCGGGTTTCACGGGTTCTGTGTCTGCCCCACGTTTGCGGGCAGCGTTAGGTCCAGACTACATCTATGTCTCCCGTGTGTGGTCAGGGTGGGACCACAGCCCTGTGGCCTGCCCTGAGGTCATCCGGGCAGGCCCTGAGCTCTCCCTGGCTCACAGTGGCCCAGAGGGCACTGGACGCACCTGCCCAGCTCCCTACCCCAACCCCAGGGCCTTTGCACGTGCCGCTCCCTCTGTTCCTCCTCAGGCTTCAGCCTCATAGAGGTGTCACTTCCTCGCGGAGCCCCTTTCCCTTTGACGCCCCTGGTGCCCCTGTTCTGTGGGCTCAGAGCCCCTGACGTTACTCTTCAGGGCCCGTAGCACGTGGGGGCCACACCGCAGCGTGTGAGGTGGGTTAATTCTCCATCCTTGCCATCAGGCTGTTCCACAGGACCCTCCCCTGCCCGTAGGTGCTCTCACGTGGCCCCCACCCCCATCTCCGAGTGTGAGGGTCCCGTCTCATCTGTGGGGGGTCGCAGGCCGCCCTGCGGCCCCGCACTCTGTGATGCCCCAGGACCACGGCCCCTCTGAGACGCCCGCTTCGGCTGCGTGCCAGGGAAGGCGGGCCCTCTCCTGGGTGTGCCGCCTCTCGGCCTCTCGTAGAATGACTCCCGTCGGCCGTGATGCTCAGCAGTCCATCTGGTCTGTGGTCCGGCCCGACCCCACGCCCCCTCTCCGGTCCCAGTGCGGGGTGGGGAGGGCTTCACGACTGAGTTGAAACCCCGAAAGGGAAGTCCTGGCCTGCCAGCTTTTAATTTTGTCAAGTAAGGACGTTATTGGGAAGAAAACAAATCTGCCATCTTTTCTCTCCACGAATTCAGAGCAGGCAGAGGGGTGTCTAGGGGACAGGCAGGCGGGCCAGCCGGGCAGAGGGTCTGCCCTCGTGCTGCAGCTTGCGCTGGGCTGGCCTGGGTCCCCCTCTGGGGACGGCTCGTTAGGCCCCTTCTCTCAACACCGGCGACACCTCTCGGCCCTGGGGCAGCCTCGGGCCTCTGCCTGGGGATCCCGCTGTCACCTCCTAGGACAGGGAAGGTCCCGCCCTCTCAGGCACGGGCTGGAACCCCAGAAACTGCCGTTGAATGAGGCCTGTTTTGTCTCTGAGTGGGAATCCAGGCTCGGAGAAGTTAAGTACTTGCTGGAGACCACCCTGCGGGACGGAGCAGGGCAGAGCTAGAGCCCCCTCCCCCAGGGGAGCCCCCCAGGCCTAGTCCTGCACCTACTGTGCAGGCAGACGTTGCCCCCAGCTCTAGGCGTGACTGTGCTCACCTACAAGACCCCGGCCTGCCTGCCCGGGAGTGGCTCAGGGTGACAGCCTGTGCCCCGGGCCTGCTTTGGGTCCCTTGAGGGCTCGGAGGGGGCCGTTGGCCAGTGGCCAGGGAGAAGGCCCTACCCCTGGGGCTCTCCTCGGGTCTTCCCCACGCCCCCCGCTTCCCCCTGCATGGCTCCCCCATGCCCCCCACCATCAGGCTTGTGCTCTCACCTCGAGGGGCTGCCCGGTGGCATGCAAGGGCAAGGAGCACGGTCCCCGGGGAGTGGATCCTGGCCGCAGGGGCTCCGGCGAGAACCTGGCCCTGGCCTCTGGCACGCTAGCTGCTGGGTGTTTCGCTCGTGTGAGCCGGGACCCCGTGCGGGCCAGGCAGTGCCCGTGGCTGCCGCTGTCCGTCAGACGGGATGGGGTGGGCGATGCCTGCAGGGTGTCCTGGGCACGTGGTGTCCGGGGTCCAGCGAGTGTGTGGACTTCTGGCTGACGCTCCTGGGAGGTTTGTTGCAGAGCAGGTGGAGGCGGGGGCTGGCCCCCCCGCAGGTGACAGCAGGGGCGCCCAGCGGCTGGTGCCTGTCTGCCCCTTCCCCCTGAGGTCTGCAGACCAACTGGCCACGCTCCCCGGCTGCCGCCTCTCCGGGGATCCCAGGTCCCCTTTCTGCACACCTGGCTCTGTCCACACTGGTGGCCTCGGTGCCAGTTTGTCACCGGGCCTCCCACGAGAGCCCTCAGCAGGCCCTTCATGGGACCGGGTTGTTTAGGCTGCGTCACTGGAGGGCGGATGGTTTCTGTCAGGGGAAGCTCTTCTGAGGGGGCCTCCCCCATGTGGCTGGCTGCCTGGCCGTCGTGGTTTCTGGAATGAGGGGTTTCCACATCCCGTGCGTGGGCCTCGGTCCCCACCTCCCCGGGCCCAGAGGGTTCTCCACCCGAGCCCCACAGGCTGGAGCCGGGAGCAGCAGGGTGCCGCTGAGGCCGCCCAGGTTTCCTCGTCTCTGAGAATGACCGGGGCGTCCCCTTCCGGCTAGAATTTTCTGGAAGGGCCTCTGATGCACCCTCTCTGTGTGCCACCCCCGAGCCTGGCCTGTGACACGGGGTCACCCGGCCCCAGCCCCCGGGGCTGCGGTGGGGACTGAGTGGGTCATAGCACGGTGTCCTTCCTGTGGCTGCTAGGACAAGTGACCACAAACCAAGTGCCTAAGACAGCACAGAGTTTAGGATCTTACGCTTCTTGAGGTCAGAAGTCTGAGCTCAGTGTCCCTGGGCCAAGTTGGCATCGGCAGGGCTGGCCCTTCTCGGGGAGAAGCTGCTGCCTGGCCTGTCCCTGCTCCGGAGTTGCCCGCGTTCCTCTGCTCCCGGCCCTTCCTCCGGCTTCGGGGCCGGCAGCGTCTTCCCTCCTCGACCTCGGCCTCCGTCCTCACGCCTTCTCTCCGCTCTGACCTCCTCCCCCCTCCAGTAGGGACCCTCGTCCCTACTGGGGACGAGGCACTGGGCCCACCCACTTCTTCCAGGGTAACCTCCCATCTCAAAACCCCTAACTCGGCCGCGTCTGCAGAGTTCCCTTTGTCGGGTAAGGTGGCACATTAGCGGGTTCTGGGGTATAGGACGTGGGTGTCACTGGGGGCGTTATTCAGCCGCCACCGCCGGGTAAGGTGTGTGGCGGGGCCTGGTCTGAGGCCGCGTTCTCTGCTCGGTGCTCACCGCGGTGCCCCTCCCCCCAGCCCAACGACCCTGTCACCAACATCTGCCAAGCGGCCGACAAACAGCTCTTCACCCTGGTGGAGTGGGCCAAGCGGATCCCGCACTTCTCCGAGCTGCCCCTGGACGACCAGGTCATCCTCCTGCGGGCAGGTGAGTGGCCGGGCCCGGCAGGGGCTGGGCAGGCGTGGACGGGAGAGGGGCGGGGGCTTTGGAGCCCCGCGGGTGGGACGCGGCCTTCCTGCTGCTGTGTGGGTCCGCGGGGGAAGGGGCACGGGCCGGGGCTTCTGCCCACCCCAGCCGGGGTTTTCCTCCCCTCCCTCATAAGGAGGGGTTCAGTTTGGGGTCTCTCCTAGTGGCCTTCAGAGGGGTGAAGGGCCGTCTGGGGGACCTGTGGAGAGGGAGGGGTGAGCGTGTCCAGCAAGGGCTGCCCTTGGGGGTCTGTGTGTTCTGCCTTCTCCCCCCACTGAGGCCGCAGCCCCTTTCCCAGGCTGGGCTTGCGATGCACGAAGCTGGTGCAAAAACAGCTCGCTCGGTGCTCAGCACACACCCCACGGCCGAACAGGTGGTGAGGGAGATCCTGGGACCTGGGGGCGGGCGGCGGGGGGGACGGGAGCGGCAGCTTTGGAGTCCCGACGAGGTAGCCGCCCGCCCTCCAGACCGTTCTCTCATCTGGAAAGTGGGCATGACGGCCTTGCCGCGTGGGAGCCGGTTTCTGCTGGGACACGGGGGTCCTTGGCGCAAAGCTCCTGCCAGAGAGACAGTAGGGACGGGCCAACTGGGAGGTGCTGGGTGGGTGGGAGCCCCGCCCCACCGGTCCATACGTGCGCACTGGGCCCTGCGGTGTGCACCTGCTGACCTGCGTGCTCCGGGCCTGTGCTGGGAGCCGCAGGAGCATCGGGCCAGCCCAGCGCCTGCCGGGCCCACTCTTGGGGCAGGAGGACGGGTGGCAGCAGGGTCAGAGGTAGGAAGGGGCTGGGCGGGCCTCAGTGGGGGATGGGAGGGAGAGAGGCAGAGTGATCGCAGAGTGGCAGGTAGGGCAGGCGCTGGGGGGCTGGTCCGGCCCCTTGCAGAGCTCTGGTCCTCGGCCCTGGTGTTTGGCCAGCGGGGTGTCTGTCGCGCTGAACCTGGAGGCGGGGAGAGCCCGCGCCCAGAGGAGTTTTCACTCTGGGGCACAAAACCCAACACCCAGAGCCGTCAGACCCGCAGGGATTGGGAGAGTCTGGGCCAGCGGTTGGAGGGCATATTCTGATTCACTGACCAGGCAGCCCCTTCCTCTCCCTGGGCCTCAGTTTTCCTCTGTATAAAACGGGGCCAGTACTTGCTTTGTAGGGTTGAATCAGGATTCAATGGGATGATCCTCGTGATACTGGCAGCCTCCAGCCCAGTACCTTCAGGGCACTCGGGAGTGGTGGCTGTGACGGTCACTAGTGACAGTCTCGTGGGATGATTCATGCTGTTCAGTTTATAGGGTCATCGAAACACTTGCTCACAGGATCGTTTCCATCCCTCTTTGTATACCTTGCACCTACTCTGGGTGCGCCAGGGCCTCATTGCAGAGGGAGCGGCGAGTTGGCCTTTGGCTCTAAACACACCTTGTTTCAGCTCAATAATTGAGTGTTTTGTGGCATCCACAAAATGTCTGGGAGTTTGCCGTGGGGGGCCAGACTGGCGGCAGCTGCTCCGGGGCCACCTGGAGAGGGTCCTGGGAGCTCCCTTGCGCTCCGTGGCACAAGTGTCTGGCACTTGCAGAGAGAGACTTCCCTGGCACCCTAGTTGGGGAGCCTGGGTTAAACTACACTTCGGGACATGCTCTGTGCAGGACTTCTCAGGGCCTTTACTGCACACAGTGTAGAGGCAACGCCCAAACGTCCGTGCTTGGGAGCTTCCTTTCTGTGGAACGGTCACGGGCTCGGGGTTTCATGGAGCCCACTTTGGGAACCGTGGCTTGGGAGGGTGAGAGCTGCCTCTGGGGGGCCCAACGGGGATCGGGGGCAGGGCGGCCCGGGGGTCTGGAGACAGCAGTGACCGTGTGCTCTCCCCGCCGCAGGCTGGAACGAGCTGCTCATCGCCTCCTTCTCTCACCGCTCCATAGCCGTGAAGGACGGCATCCTCCTGGCCACCGGGCTGCACGTCCACCGCAATAGCGCCCACAGCGCGGGGGTGGGCGCCATCTTTGACAGGTGGGGGCCCAGCCCAGCCCACGGCCGTGACCTGCTTGGCCTTTGTCTGTTCACGAGGGTTGTACTTGCGGAGATACAGAGAAGTGCAAGGACTAAGGTTAAAATCCCTCCGGGGACACCCGACAGCCGCAGCTGACGTTTTTGGTTTACTTTTCTCCAAGTATGTTTTCAAGTCCTGCCCATGGGAAGGAAAGCTGCCCTATTTTTAATGCAAAGGTAGATTGTGCCGTAGATACTGTTACGTCGGATGCGGCGGAGACTCCTCCGAGCCGAGACTAAAGCATCGCGGCGCCTGTGAGCCCGCGCGCACCCTGTCCCCGGGTGCCCGGCTGCAGCTCAACGCTGCTTCTGGCATGTCCCCGGTGGAGACACGGCTCTCCGCCCCTCGGCACACAGCCAGGGGGCCAGTGCTGGGCGGTGGTCAGGGGGCTCCATTCAAGTGCCTCCAGAATCATGGCCCACCTGCGCTGCACCAGGCGGGGCGGACAGGAGCTACTCGTTCCTGTCTCTGGGCCTTGCCTAAGAGCCCGGAGGACCTGGGGGCCTGAGTGTCAGCTCAGCCAGCCGGAGTGGGAAGGGCTGGGGAGGGGCGTCCCAGGGTCCCTCGGGTGTGGGGGGGGGCGCGGCACAGGAGTGGTGAGTGGGAAGGAGCGGGTGGCAGGGTGTGGGGGGTGGGGATGGTGGTGGGAGGGGTCCCAGGCGAGCCCCCGAGTACAGGAGCCTTGAAGTCAGAGGGGAGCAGCGGAAGCCGCTCCTGTAGCCCCCCGGGGATAAATGTGGGAGCCGTGCTGCCCCGTGGGACAGCTCAGGGAGAGCAGAGGGGCACCACGTACTGTGGGCAAGCACTGGTTTAGACAGTGTAGGGCTGTGTCTTTGCCACAGGACGTTTCAGGGCCACCGAAGTGCCACCGAAAGGGGCTGTGGAGTGCGGGGTTTATTGCCCACAGACGGCTTCTTTGGAGAGCACATCCCTCTGGGGGCATGTTTAGAAGTGCAGCCCCAGTCATGCACCCAGCTGACAGTTCTGTGGTTCCAGCTGCCAGTAGAGAGGTGACAGTGATGGGAATGTAATAAGTGGCCGGTGTCGGGAAGTGGAACGGAGCCTGCTCTGGCTGCAAGGAAGGAGCCAGGGAGCCAGGAGCTGGGGAAATGCCTTCCCGCGGGCGGACTCCAGGGATCGG